TCCTCATTTTTCAGTATTTTGAATTCCCCTTTTGTGTTAGGAAATCACGAGTCACATTTCCCCTAGAATATAGACTTTGCCATTTACTGACTCTATGACCTTTGATCCCAGTTTTCTTAATTATCTGTATGTGATGATAATTTTGACATGCATGTGCAAATAAAAATAAGATAATATATCATGTAGACTGTTTAGTTAGCATTCAAAAATCCTATGTTAGGATAAGCTCTGATTGAAATCCTCTCCATGGTTATTGATGCTGCTCTTTAACCTGGAGCTGAGCACAGAAGGAGGGTACATGCCCATTCTCACTTTGGAAACAGCTTGGACCTGTGCAACTGGGCATGACACCAGGAGACTCTCCTCCTCCCTCATGCTCCAAACTTTCAAGGCAAGATGTTGCTTTGATCTTGGGCTCTCTGCAGAAAATCTCCCTTGGCAAGGCTAGCCATGACAGCTGGGCTGCATGGTGGCAACTTTCTGTAGACAACACTGAAAAAGAATCTGGGAAACCAGGTGTATACTGAGAATCCAACTGGAGAGAGTTGAAACTGTGCCAAACAGCTTCAAATGTTAAAAAAAGGAGGGGAAAAAAAAACACCCTTAGGAGAATCCCTGAAAATGTCTCCACTGTAGTGGTCTTGGTTAGCCAAAGACACCACGTTCTCTCCACTGATTGCCTCTGGTTAATTTTCTATGCAGCTTGACAAGAAGGAATGTGACAAGTTCTATCTCAGAGCTTGCAATCAGGCAAGACAGGGCTGTGCTCGTCCTTGCTGGCCCAGGAGACCAAGAAACCAATTAAAACTCCTCCTCGAGTTTCATCCTCCGGTGGTGGTACATAATGATGATGTTCTGGTCCAGAGCACCCATGGAGTAGGTGCTAGTGATTCATAACTAGTGTCGATTTGGGGGGGGACCACCTGGCTCAGCCCGATTGACCATTTATCAGATAGTTGAAAGGCTTAGGAAGGTGGAATAGCTTCTGCCACACAAAATATCCTAAATGAGGCAGGCTCTAAGGATTCCAAGGAATCCAGAATTCCTTAGATTCCTTGGCACAGGGTGGCTGAAGGTTTCTGAAGCTTGCAGACCCTTTGTGCAAGAAATTCCCATGATCAGGACATTCAAATGGGTCCACGTCTCCATGGCCTCCTGCTCAGGGGCAGATCCAGATTTTGAAACTTACATGAGTTGAGGAGACCGTCTTAAAGGCAATGACTAAATAATTATGACTGTAAAATTAGGTATAAAGATGAATGTTTATTTGGAATAAAAAATATATCAAAGCAAATTAAAAATTGGAGTTGACAAATACCACACATATTAAAATATTTAGAAAAGTAACAATCTTTGTATTAGACATGCCTATATAAAAACTTTTTCCCAATTTTTTTCTGCAAATTCCCCTATAATTTCTTATGTAATTAAATTTTGTAATATTTTATGTAGAGAGAATAGATAATTCCATCCAATTGAAAATTGATTTTTATTTTTAATAGTTTAGGAATGTTTCTTTGTTTCACCATTCATTTTGGTAATTTCACCACTGAATTATTGATAACAACATTAAAATTATTAAATTTTGGTAAAACTCTTACACATTTCTTTCATATATGAGCTATTAAGATTTCAGGACATTTCAAGTTGGTTGTGTGTGTGTGTAGGGGGTAAACACACAACAACTTAATCTTAAATGTTCTTTGAATTTATAAACTCCTTAACCACTTATCATCAGTTTTATGTTGGTCCCTATATGTTTGTGTCAGCATGGCAGGTGGTAGGAATATTACTGGAAACCATTCCTTCTGGTACTGTTGTAATAACCAGACACAGAAATGACTGCATACGACACAAGTATATCCCACTGAATCCTAATTAAATGTTCCTCTTTCATAAGTTCCTCTTACCCAGGTCCCCAGAATTCCCATGGCACTCCTAACATCACCCAACTCCAGGGGAAATGTCATGGAAAAAATCTTAGTGGAGAAACACAGTGATATTAACTGATTGCAGTTTAACCTACTTTTGCAAATTTTACAAAAATATGTGACCATGTGACTCTATTACTAGGGCCTTTCTCAGGGCCCTGGAATGGGCCTATCCAAGAAAGGAGCCCTCACACACAAGCATTATTAGCTCTGTGGTAAATTTACATGTGAAGATTTACTCAAATTAAACTGAGCCTACTTCCCTGGGCAATGGCATGCTTGGCTTCCCATCAGTGGTTGCTAAAGGTTGAGAAATGACTGGGAGTTCAATCCAACTCAGTTGCCTAATGTTTCCTCAACTTGAAAATCATGCCAGGTTTGAGTTCCATTCCTTCACATTCCCACCTTCATACAGTAGATGAGAATTAGGTGAAGGTTTAAGGAGTTTGTCCCTAAGAGGGAAATAGGTTTTAGTTAGACTTTTTCATCCATAGTAGAAAGGGCTTCCCCTAGGTTCTCCAGAGCCACTGTCTACATAAATAATTCGAATCGCTCCAAATCAGTATGTCAGCACCATTTTGATAGCCCACTCTCTTGGGATCCTATAAGAGAAATACTGTGCTGACCAGCATGAGTGATCAGCTCTCCTGGCTGCCCCACTAGAACTTGGGCCTGTCCTTGAGGCTTCAGGACGACCTGACAGGCATGAGTTCCAGTTCTCCTTGGAGTAACTGTGAGTCCCATGTGTGGACTAGAAGACTGGAGAGAACCCTGAAAGGGAGAAACCGATGCTGGGACTGAGGTCTAAGTATGTCCAAGTCCAGGCATGCAGTACCCCACCTGAATGACACTGTTTGCCCCTGGCTAGTCCTGGATACCAGACAGAGACTTAAAGATTTTTGAGGAAGGCCTCCAAAACATGGGGCTCCCTGAGTTGCCTTTGCTGGGGTCTAAAGGCAGCGCTGGTAGAGAATGTACTGATAGGACTATTTTTTTTTTCTAATGTATATTTCCACTACATTTTTCCCAATGTAGTAATGCCTGTGAAGCATACAAAGGCAGAACCTGCTGGAAAAGCCAAGTTTTCCCTGAAATTGTTCACTCTCATTTTAATTGGTTTTTTAAATGTTTTTCTGAGAGAGTGTGATGATTAAACTTTAATTTAAAAAGTAGTAAGCGTGTTTTGTCTTCATTGATGAAGTGCATTAATGTTTTGACTCCAGCCACTCACCCACTGTACTTCCAACCTCACTGCCCTGGTGGGGCCTTCTCTGTAGTCTTCTCCACATGCTCTCGTTCCTATCATCCTCATTCCAGTGTCCTTTCTGGGCATTCCTAGTTCTCATTTGTTAAATATTTATTAGGATTGATAACTTCAATGTTCACTGTCTGTGCTTGTTTAGGAAACGGGCATGATGTTGGCAAATTGAAACCCACAGTGGATAAGTAGATGCTAAGATCCTCTTTGACTAGTTTCTCCCTTTTTTGCTTGTGCTCTCCCTCTCATTGTCTCTGTCTTGCTCCCTCCCAGAGTAGAGCTTTTGTTCTTGCATATGGTGGTGGCCGAGCATGTGTATGAAGAATGCTTGAAGGAACTTAGTTTGGAGAATAGACAATTTATGGAAGACATATGATCTTCAACTATCTGAAGGGCCATCATGTGGAAGAGAAGAATCCCCTGTTCTTTGTGACCCCAAGCAGTTAAATTGGTTCTGTGGGTAGGAATTTGAAGATTCAGTCCCCGAGGGAAAAATAACCTCTTTCTTATGGTTGTAGGAGATAGAGTGAGTTACCTTGTGGTGACCCCTTGGCATAGATGTTAGGGACTGGATTCAGACATTGGTTGGATTTGGAGTTCATTCTTCTCTGACAAGTTGAAATGAAATACAAGAACACTGGTTAATGTCCCGTGATTAGATACCCTGGCAGAGTAAAGGCAGCCCATCCTTTGACTTTACCTTCCTCTCCTCGGTCCAAGTGGACCTTACTCCTAGAAACTGTACCCCAAGTCTTTGACTCTTGTATGTTTCATTCACCCTTATATCTTTAACCCCTGTATGCTCTGCTGTCATTCCCTGTCAAGGACACCATTCTGTCCGCTGATGTTGGCTAACTCCTCTTATCCATTGGCCCCTGGTAGTCCTGGCCTCTGTTCATGGCCTGTCTAATTATCACCTTTCCTAGGGCTCATGTGTATGTGGCTCAAGCCAGGAGTTGATGTGCAGACTAGTCCCCCCCAACATCTGTGATTTCCTGGACCTATGACTCCTGCCTTGTTTGTTTTGGGGATCTCAGTGTTTGCCTTGACTGGACAGTGGATCCCACTGAGGAGATGAATCATAGAATAATCTCACCACCATGCCCCTCCTTGATCTTTTATCTTTCATTCTTTCCTTCATAGAATATTAGATTTACAACAGATTCCTAGGAAAAGCATTTTGACCGACCTGGCTTGACTAAACCTGTCCTAATTTACTCTGTCTTCTCTTAGCTTTGTTCTCCTTTCCCCCTCAATCCAAGGTTTTATTGCTACCAGTGAGGCCATTGAGCAATGTTTAGCTCTGCCACAGGCCCTCAGATCATAAGAGGATGCCAATCCCTGTTTGAGTCTATGCTATTCCCATATGTTTTGATGGTAAATTACCCCCTTAAGGAGAAATAACATATTTTTAATGAGGCCTTTGGAAATAATGTCTTGCTTTCAATACTGGGAAAAATAAAGTTTTGCATATTGCAAAATATTTTACTACATGGAATCTACCCTTCATCATGTTTAATAAAACAGAACTATAGAGAAAAGTGTGATAAAATAATGAAGTTCATTCATTTTCTCTCAAGTGATCTGTACTTAGCTTTTCGTGTCCAGAGAAAAGCTGGGCTGTGTCCCCAGCAGTAGGAGTGAAAAACTAGCCATGCCAGACACACAGCTAAGTTGATTTCAACCCTCACCCATGTCACCTCATGGGAACAGCCTGGACTCCTCAGCTGCTAGGCTGTGCTTGTCAGTCACAGTCTAGGCTCTTTACTAAGCCTTTGTTTTCCTGGACCAAGATCCTTAACTGTTGTCACATTACTGACTTGGAGTGTCTGCTTGATCACCTGGCAGAAGTGACACCAGCTCTGGAGTATCTCAGCCTGCTGGGTAATGTGGCATGTCCCAATGAGCTGATCAGCTTGGAAAAGGATGAGGAAGACTACAAGAGGTACAGGTGAGTATCTAGGAGTTTGAGCATGGTGGGAGAAGGGAAAAATAGCATCTTTGGGGGGATAATGTTATCCTATGGCGTGCATAGTAGATGTTTGGTAAATATTGGTGGACTCCATGATAAGGTTAACCTTTCACCATTGGGTGATCTATAGCCATTAGTTCCCTTCATTGAGGTCGCAGGAGCCAAGAAATGTGAAAAGTTGTTGGGTGGTATAGGTCAGGGATTGACAAATTTTTTGTAAAGGGCTGGATAATAAATATTTTTGACTTTGAAGGTCATGTGGTGTCTGTCACAACTTGTCCAACTCTTCTGTTATGGTGCAGAAGTAACTTTAAACAATTTGTAAGTGAATTGGCATGGCTATGTCCCAATAAAACTTTGTTTACAAAAACAGGCAGCAGGCTGGCTTTGACCTGCTATATTTTGCTGACCTGTGATCTGTGTTATAAGATCTTCCTGTGGTCTGACTCAGAGTCACTGTTTGGAGACAGAGCACTTCCCACCAAAGTTTAGGAAGCTTATATACAATTCTAAGAAGAAGTCTCAAAAGGCCCATAACTTTGTTCCAAAAAGGTATATCTCAGTGGCCACCAACATGTGCTTTGAGGGGCTCAAGCAGAAATGCTTTTCTTTCTTCTCTCTACCTTTAAACCAGCTGCTTTGAAATACCTGATCCAAGTTCACCTCTCTTGGAGAGTCTTCTTGATCTTAACCGTTTTACTAAACTCTTTTTTTTTCTTCATTTTGAATTCTATATGCTCTCATTCTTTTTTTTGGTAGGGGTGGGGGAGGAAGATTGGCCTCAAGCTAACATCTATTGCCAAACTTCCTCTTTTTGCTTGAGGAAGATTGTTTCTGAGCTAACATCTGTGCCAATCTTCCTCTATTTTATGTGGGATTCTGCCACAGCATGGCTTGACAAGCAGTGCTAGGTCTGCATCCGGGATCTGAACCTGTGAACCCCAGGGTGCCAAAGTGGAGTGCGTGAACTTGACTGCTACACCACCAGGCCGGCCCCTATATGCTCTCATTCTTGATTGTTGTTTTGTAAATGTTTTTAATAATCTTTTCATGACTGTAGCCTCTCTCTATTATGATGTAAGCTCTCATTAACATCCCAACTGAATCAATGTGGAAGGAGAGAGGGAGAGAGGAAGGAAGAAAATACAAGGCAGATAGGGCTACTGGAAAATAAATTTGAAAAGATTGGGGAAAGAGGATAATGGTTTGAGAGGAACTTGTTCTATTGGGACTCAGACCACTTGTTCTGTGGTGACCCATGAAGTAATGTAGTTGGAAGCATTCATTTTCTATAAAGGCAAAGCTGTAAGCAATACTGAAGGCTATTGAACACTATATATTTAAAAAATGTACACACACATATAAGTAAGGCTACAATAGAAATTCAGTTATATTTATTGGGAAGAAGTTTGTACATTTACTTCATTTTCCGTGTTTCTTGATTAATTTTGTAAGGATCTTAGACTTGTTAAGCCATCTTAGAATAAAGCTGTATCTCTGCTTTTAAAAAAATGTGTTAAGTCTTTCTTCATCGTGAAGATTTTCATTTCGAAGGCAATACTGTTGATTTGAATGTGAGTTCTATTAGGAGAAATATGGTTAATTTCCAGCAGGTGCATAGTTAACAAATTCCTAAATCAATCCTTTAAGTTGCTTAATCACTTAGAACTTAATTTGCTTGTTTAACACTCTTGTCAACTTTGAAGCATTTGACAAAGCATATTTTACCTTCTTGCAGCAACTTGTTTATAAGACATGTCTTGGAAGGGTCAAGCAGGTCCAAGAAATTTCTCTCAATCTACATTTTTAGTAAACTAAGCATTGTTTGGGAAATTCTCATTTATTTTCTGACTTCTTTTTTAGATTCCTGTGTTTATTTCTTTAAACTAGACCAATAAATTATATATTTATGTATATGTGTGTGTGCATGTGCATATATATGTGTCTATGTATGTGTATGTATATATATGTGTGTGGGTATATGTGCACACATTCACACACATTTGTTTATTCCTAAAGCTATATGTGAATTGAACTGTACGCACATTTTTTGCTATTTTTTTCTAGAATGAGAGAAGTAGAGAGAGGAAAGTCTCCACTTCCACCTTATTCTATTCGGTCTAAAATAGAAGGCTTATAAGATTGTAAAAGGAAAAGAAAAGCTAATACTATTTTGTTATTATTGTTAACTGATTACATTAGCAAAAATACAAAGACCCATCGTGTAAGGGGCCACATCAGAAGATCTGATGTAGAATCCAACTTTGCCAGTGGGACCTTTAAAATAAGGAAGACAGTCTAGATCAGTGACCCTCAACCATGGCTACACTTTTGAATATCCAAGGCATTTTGATTCGTTTAGTGGCAAATGCAAAAAAAATAGTCAATAGGTGATTCTGGCGCTCAATTGAGAACTATTGGACTAAGCAGTATTTAAAATCCCTGTTGGCTCCAGCATTCTGAGATATTCTGCTCCCAACCAGTTACAGTTCTTCCTTTACCATCTCACCCATTTTATATATTCCACCTTCTATATTTCTGTCACTACTTGATATATGTCAACATCCAGAGACTGGCTTCCAGCTGGTAAGGGCTGTGTCTTCTTGCCCTTTGAAGCCTTATCAATACCTAAAGTAATGCTGACCATGGAATAGGGGCTTGGTAACTGTTTGCTGGAGCTGGCTTGAAATTACCCTTCCCTCTGGGGAGCTGAGTACTTATAGAAGGATGCAAGGCCCTTTGGGCACCTCAGATGCCCACTGCCTATTCGGAATCAGATTCATTTGGATGTCAACAAACACAGTTAACAAGCAGGGACTATCCTTCAGACTTACTCCAAGTGTTGGTGTTAGGTCTTGTTCTCTGGGGAGGGCTTGGTTCTAGAGGAATGATTCATCTCATAGGCTGGCCTGGATACCCTCCAAGCCTGTTCTCCCCATGTTAGGTCTGTTCCCTTGGAAGGTGTTGAGGGATGGGACTGGGAATGTTGTTTGCTAGTGCATATATGGCAAAGTTGCCATGAGGAACTGGATTCTGGAGGCCACACACAACTGAAATCACATCTAATTAAAATTACCTTAGAAAATCCATCAGTTACCCACAACAATGGCAAGATGCTCACACTCTGAGAGAAACAGGAACTAAGAACAGTGGAGAGAACATTAAATGTGTGCCCATCCAGTTACACGTTCACTGCATGGCATCTAATGGTTGAGTGGAATGGTAGGCCTACTCTCTGGCAATTCTAAATTTTTTATTCATTTTATTTTTTTATTTTTTATTTCTGGTTTGACAAGCACTCTCATACTTGCCTTTGGATGAGATAAATATGTGTATAATGCAGTTCTGTTCTATGGTCTGTAAGCAGGTCTGCTTTGTTCATCCTGGAGTTTGTGCTTCATTTGCCACAGAAATTTTAAGAGTTTCACAATAATACTTTTGAATCCCAGAATTCCTGTGGCATTTGGGTTTCTACAAAGCAATGCAGCTGCCTTTTTTTTTTCTTCTGGTAAAATATTTTCCTGGCCCTTTATTTACAAAGCATGGGGTGTGCCTTCCTTCTAGGTGCCACCCAGAGCCGAATAGTAGGGCCTCTATGTAAATTTATGTGACATTTTCACTAGAAAATTGCTTTAAAAATGAATGATATTTCTACAGTTTACTGTTTTTCACTTTAAGTACATTTTCTGACAATATGTCTTCTATTAATCATTTAAGCAATAGTAGGAGCCTTAAAGGAGTGTATTCAGAAGTAAGAACCCATGGTTCATTTAGTGCTGTCTAAAAAAATTTCTTATTGATTGGCATCCTCTGTGGTTATGTGATGTAATATTTATAATATGTCACCCAGCCGTACATCAAAACGAGTATGTCTGTTCTTTCATTTCCATGGCGATGTTGATTTCAGAGAGGTCAGCCCAGTTTTAGGTCATGTTGTGGCCAACCACTGGACCAGAAATGGGAAGTGACTAGGTTTAGGGAGTTATTGGAACTGGCTTTACAGATGCTTCGGTTTCTGCTGATTATTTCCCCTCCTCCATGTCACTCCCTTTCCTTGCTCACTTGCCTCCTGTGCGCCCAGGTGGATTTTCTTGGCACACATTCCCACAGTAAAACAGGCTCATTAAATCTCTATGTGAGCATGAACATACTACCGAGTTGTTGAGCAGTGCCCTGGTCCTGCTGTGGCAGGAGCAGAACCTTGCCTGGAGTTTCTCTTTGCCATTCATCATAGTTCATGGCTGAGAAATGTCCATAACATAAATGTCGTGTTATTATAGGAGCTTAAACCTGCCCATGCTTTGCTGTGTGTACACACCATGCTGCTATTTTGTGATGAATGTTGTATGGAGGTGAATGTGATAACCAATAGCCTTCAGGATTTGGACAGGAAGAGAGGAGAGGGGCAGAGCTTGGCCTGGAAGACCACTATCTTACTAAGAAACCACTTTGGGGTTGCTGTGGACTTCGACACTGGCCAAAAAATGAATGAAGTATGGGAAACTTGGATGACCAGAATGATCTTATTTCTTGTCTTTCTTTATAATTTTTTTCTTTTTCTTCCTGCAGGAAAGACAGTAGAGTGAAGGTCAACAATACACAAGTGCTAGACATCAGTTGTCAAATAAGGGAGTTGGTCTCATGGTCTCTTAATTCACCTTCTGTCACCAAACTCTTTGTCATTCATTTTCTCCTGCCTCTGCAGTCTTTAGCTGGCCTCTCCTTTCTCCCTCCTCCCCAGCAAGCCCCTCTGTACTCTTTACAAGTTTAAATTATTTAAAACGTGACACCCTTTCTTTGTTCCTTCAAGGGACCAGCACTGGGGTCTGCCCAGTGTCTATAGCACTCAGCCAAAGGGAAGGAGGGAGGGATCCTCCACCGTCTGTTGGCCATCCTGGGCTGCCATCATTTCCCAGCCCAATAGGAGCTGTAAAACTTGTGGCTTATGTAACCCAACTTGCATTCTCCAGCTAATCTAC